AAATTTTTAAAAAGATAACACATTTGTGAAAAGTTTCCAAATATCTTAATATATCCCAAATATTTTATTTAAAACAACAATAAGGGTTGAGTTCATAGCTCAGTGGTGGAATGCGTGCTTGCCGTGTGTGAGGCCCTAGTTCAATCCCCAGTACTGCAAAAAAAAAAAAACCACAAACGAATAAACAAAACACAGTAATAAAAAAATTCTAAAATATATTTTTGAGAACTATATATTTTGAGAATCATAGTGCAGATGTTGAAAATATAGTTTATAGGGCTGGAGAGATGGCTCAGCAGTTTAGAACACTGGCTGTTCTTGCAGAAGACCCAGGTTCGAATCCCAGCACCCCATGGCAGCTAATAACTGTCTGTAACTTCAGTTCCAGGGGATCTGACAGCCTCTTCTGTCCTCCGTGAGCATTGCATGACACAGGTGCACTTACCTACATGCAGGCAATACATGCATACACATAAAATAAAAAAAGTGTTTTCCTAAAATCCTATTATAAAAACAATATAATAATGTATTAGAAAAACTCAATGTTTATCCCATAAAACCTCTAAAGCCAGATTTAAGTTTTGTTTCCTAGAGTTTTTTTTTCTTACTTCCTATAAGGAAAATATAAAGTATTACTTATATGTTTACTGAGCAGAAATTTAAAAAGTGAAATCAAAGGCAATCTTGACCCCAAATCAAATTTTCAATTACTAGGCTGATAAATTGGCATGGGGATGAAAAGTGTTGCTCTATATAAATTATAGTACATGTTTCTACTTTAAATATGCCTTTCTAAGCTGGTTTTCATGCCTAAGGAAAACTAAACTAAGAGAGTATGGCCCAGGGACTTATGGGTGGTGGCAGAGGAAGGCTCTGAAAACAGATGGAGCTCCAGTTCTGACTCCTCCAACACCTTACTTCCTGCACTAGTGAAAATTATATAACCTCAGACCTTCATATCTATGAAAAACAATGGGAGCTGCCTCAGGAGGTGGCAATTGAGTGAGATCCAAAGGGAAATGCTTAGGGTTAGTCTGGGCACACAAACTTCAGCTGCTATACTGTCTGTCTGAAACAGTGAACAACAAAAACAATATGAAAAGCGTCTCTAAGAAATCTTTTTACAAAGTTAATTTTTTTTTTTTTTTTTCGGTCTTTTTGAGACAGGGTCTCCCTGTAGCCCCAGCTGTCCTGGAACTCACTATGTAGACCAGGCTGGCCTTGAACTCACGGAGATCCGCCTGCCTCTGCCTCCCGAGTGCTGGGATCAAAGGCGTGCACCACCACGCCCAGCCTACAACCTTAATTTTTTATGCACTAACTACTATAAAATCTTAAAACTATAATTCTCTCTTTTATTCAATTTAATGGAATATTTTTTAAAAATTAATGTGATTTTTATAAAGGGTAAGGATATATTTTGAGAACAAAATGATATAATCTGCAACAAATTTCAGAAAGAGCCCATGGTAGCCAGTAGCACTTTTTCCTGATCTGGCACACACAGGCATTTATGAGCATTTCAGTCAGCATATGCTAAGCCATTTTTAATACCTTCAGTCAGAAGAACTCCATGTTTCACTCCAAGGGCTGCCTGAAGCACGGTCTTTCCTCCCCAGCCCAGCAACCTCTCTGGTGTCAGGGAAAAGGATCCTGCCTGCCAGACATGGACCAGGCCTCTTTCTTTGGATCCTTCTGCCTCTGTTGAGCTACAAACATTATTTTTCAAAACAAGGTTTAATTATTCCTGTAATTCAAAACTGTATCTTTTGTTCTTAATACTTCCCATGAAATTATACCTCCTTCTTTTGCATGTGTGCTGGAGAGAGGGAGAGAAAAAAGAAGGGGGGGGAGGACTGCAGGGAGGTGGAGGGAGAATGAGAATGAATATCTGAGATTGTATCTTATACCAGCACAAGGAAAGGATGACTAGGTCAGACATCTTATACCAGCACAAGGAAGGAATGACTGGTTCAGACAGTTTAATTAGCACTTAACTTTATACTTTGTTATGACACCGGAGCCAAGGTAAAACAACTAAGGTTGGGGGATGGTCTAAATCCATAACTTACTTCTGTGCAATAAATAGAGCCTCGGCTATTTCTGTAGGTTTTATGGCTTGGTAGCATAAAATTTCTAACTTTAGAGAATTTGATGAAAAAGAGATGAGGAACTTAAGTCTGTATTTCACTTTATGTTGGCTTTAAATCTATAATTTGTATTAAATTTGTTTGCTTGTTTGTGGTGTTGGGGGCTAAACCCAGGGCCTTGCACACAATAGTTAAGTCTCTACAACTCAGCTCTAACCTCAGTCCACTGCTATTTAATTTTTTAAAATTTGTATTTGGTATATAATTGTACATAGAAAACAACATATTATTTCTACACATGTACATATATGTAATGGCCAGATGATTAAGTCAGGATAATTGGCATATTCCTCATGTCAAACATTTATTTTGTATTGGGAATATTCAAAATCCTCTCTACCTAGCTTTCTGAAATAGAGCTGGGCACAGAGGTACTCTCAAGTGCTGGGGTTACAGGTATGCACCACATATCTGCCTATTTCAAGTTTTCTGAGGAACCTCTATATTATTTTTTTATTACTTAGATTTTTTTTTTAAAGAAACAAATTCCTAACAGATGACAGTAAAATCTTTTATGCTTTACTTATATTCTAAGGAAAGAATTCTATCTGCTGACTTTAAGTCAAAGAATATAAAACACACAGCCCTTCTACGAAGATATTGTTTCCTTTACAAAGTTTTCCTACAGGGTCACACATGGTGCTTTTGTTTCCTTGTTTCTAGAAAAAAAATTCTAAAATTTTAGTGGAAGCAGGGAGCTTTTTAAAAATGTCTCTACTTTTCCTAAACAATATTCCCTTAAATTACAGTCCAGCATTAAAATCTATAGAAGGAAAGCCAAAAATTTAACCTTTTTAAATATCTTCTGTGACTCGTTTTCTAGGGACAGAAGATTACTAGCAAGAAATAAGTCCACCTCTGAACCTTGAACCGACTGTAAGAAAAGATGGCCTCAAGGGTTTTAAGACAATGAAGATGAGAACATAGAGTGTCTTTATAAGCACAAGAAACTAGCAACAAAGTTTATCACTAATCAGCTTTATTTAAATGTGTATCTCTTTACTAATTAATTACAAACTCAACTATGTACTCTCATTTCATATCATCAAAAAGAAAATTAAACAGAAGAAATGTCGTATCCATGTGGAGCTGTCTGCTGTGCTTTCCTAGGATGGAAAAGGAAATGATATTACCTTATCTTCTTTGAGTCCATCGGTCAGTAGGAATACTCCATCACCAAATCACTCCCTTAGCAAGAGTTACAGAAACACCTAAGTGGGGAAACATAGGTAAACAAAGGGCAGTGAAAGGACGTTTGAAGGCTCTGCTATGTTATCCTGGGGAGGGGGGAGCAGGCTTCTAACAAGTGTACATTTACTGGGTAGTAACTATGCAGAGAAACTATTTAAACTATTTGATATCCAGCCTACTCGAAGTCAAATCTCTAGAAGGAGCCTGCCCACTGCGCTTATAAAAATGCATATTGACTGTCAACTGCAAGGCCAAAGAAGAAAAAGGCTACCTACAAGTAAGCTGTACTGTTCTAGGCAACAGGTTGGGGTATTTTTTATTATTATAAAGAAGGTAGTTTAATCTGCACATCAGTGTGTTCAGTACAAGGAATCACATACATATTAATGTTACTTTTTAAAAGTACTTCTGGGACACATGGAAGTATCAGATGGAAAAGATTTTTTAAAAATCTCAATAATGTATCACATTCAAGTAACTTTAACTTACATTTGCAGTAATGCACAAAATATTACATTATTAAAATACATGAACATGTTTAATGCTATATCACCAAAATGCAAAGTTGTCCATCTGTTGGAACTTATATAGTATTTTCCACAAATCAACTTCAATTAAAACAGGCCTCATAACCAAAAGGGCTATAAGCCTGAATTTTTGTGTGTGTGTCTTTATTATTATTTATTTTATGTATATGAGTGTATTGCCTGCATGTGTTAAAGTGCACCCACGTCATGCAATGCCTGCAGAGGTCAGAAACAGGCATTGGATCCACTGGAACTGGAGTTACAGATGGCTGTTAGCCAACATGTGGGTGCTGGGAATCGAACCCAGGTCTTCTGCAAGAGCAGTCAGTGCTCTTAACCACTGAACCATCTCTCCAGGCCCATAAGTCTGAATTTTAAATGAGCTGTTTCTAAATCTACCACTCATCATTTGATCTAGAGAGGCTGAAGGTGTTGATAGGGCAGAAGCTTGAGTCTAACCAATCACCAGCTTAGCATCTCTGTAAAGTTCACTTATGCCCCTGGCAGGCCATATACTCAACTGGTAGAGGTACTGTCAGATACTGTATTCCACAACCAAGCTGAGTGCTCACCAGAAATCAGTGCTATTTGTTTTCAATCCACAGCTCATCTGTCCAGTGTGCCTGTAATACTCAAAACGCAATTTAATTCTGTAAGTCAATGAAATACGAGTGCAAAAAAATTTTTTTCCTATGAAAACTGGACTTCTATGCTTTGAAGACTTTTAAAAACACATCATAGCATGCGCACGCACACACATACACACACACACACACACACAAACACACACACACACACACACACAAATTGGTATGAGAAAGACCAGGAGGGAAAAAAAATCTTAATTATTTTAGAATAATTCAATACTCAGATTGCTTGGTATCTTTAAATTCTCATTTTAGTTTAATGAAACTGAAGTTGCTGTGGATGTGTTTGGTGATAGAGCACTTGCTTAGCAGGTTCAAACCCTAGGATAGCACCCCAGCATCCTCACTAAATAATAAAATAAAACCCATCACCCAAAACCTAGGCATGATAACATATGGCTGTAACCCCAGCTCTCAGGAAGCTGAGGCAGGAAGATTAAAAGTTCAGTGCCAGCCTGGGTATGGTGACACACACCTAAGGCTTGGAAGGTAGAGGCAAGAGGATCATGAGTTCAAGGCCAATCTGAGTTACACAAAACGTTATCTCAATAAATTACTAAATATTAAGAAATAAAAGTAATGAAGGAAGAAAAAGAAAATTCAAGACTAGTCTGAGTACACAGCAAGCCCTGCCTCAAAACACAACAGCAAAAAAAAAAAAATCATTTGATGAAAAAGAGCTATAAAAAAATTAGTGTACAAATATTATGACCCATTAGTTCAGAAATCGATTGAAAAAAGAAAAATGAAGAGGCAGAAGAAATGCTGAATGCATTTCAACTCAGAAATTCACATTTTTAAAGACACCAAAATTCATGAAAAAATAAAAGTAATGAAGTTTTATTCATGTGGACCCTAAAATACTGGGGCCAAATTTGTGACTTTTCTGCACAGGGGCATGACATGGTCACTGTGCTCTGGCAACAGCCCACACCTGTGGGGGTGAGCTAAGAGGCCATCTGTTTATTCCAGACTGCCCGTGAGTGCTCAGTGCTTCCCATCTGTGTATCCGGAGGAAATTACTTTCTACCTTGTACATGCTTAATTTAGAAGAGTGTTGAATCATTCAAAGTTGGGTAAAGGGTACTATATAAACAAAAAACAAATCTGAATAAATGCAGTGCTATTGAATAAATAGAATTAGTAAGTGCTACTAACACTCTGTGCATGGTAGTAACTAGATTTAGTAATATGTCTATGTCCACTTCGTGCAGTAAATTCTGAAGCCAAATCTACTCTGCTTATCTGTCAGAGATTAAGGAGTTGTACTTTGGATTATATTTCGACAATACCTAGCAGAAGCCAGAGAACTCTTTTAGGAGGACACGGAAGTGTACAAGCACACCTCATTTCCCACAATGGATTTGCCACATGTCAACTGAATTTTGTCCTACTGCCTGACAATCAAAATTGCCATAAGCTAGGTATGGTGGCACACACATACAATCCCAGCAATTATGAGGCTGAGGCAGGAGAATTGCTATGAGTTCAAGGCCAGCCTAGGCTACATGGTGCATTCCAGCTGGCCTAAGCTACAGTATAAGATGCTGTCTCAAAAAAGAAAAAACAAACAAAACTATGGGCTCAGAGGCTAAGAGCATGTACTGATCTTGCAGAGGACCCAATTTCAGTTCACAGTACCTATGGCTCACAACTGTCTTTAACTCCAGCTCCAGGGGAACCAGTACCTTTGGCTTCCAAGGTGTACTTGCCTGCACTTATATGCACACACACACACGCACACACATACACGTGTGCACACAGAAAAGAAATAAAAACACAAAATAAAAACTAATACAAAAAAAATTAGGGAGTCAGAGAGAGAGGCAATGATGGAAGCTGGGCCAGAGATGCCCACTGCTGACTATAGATGGGAGAAGGCAGCCAACAGCCAAGGAATGAATGGCATCTACCAGTTGAAAAAAAAACAAGGAAGAGGATTTTTCTCCTAAAGCCTGCAAAAAGAGGCAGCCACACAAATAACCTTGATTTTTGCCTTGTAAGACCTATGTCAGACTTGTAATCTATAGAAATCAAAAATAATACATTTGTGTGTTAATAAGCCAAGAAATTTGTACCAATTTTACAGCAGCCATAGAAAACTAACATCTAGGGCTGGGGATGTGGCTCAGTTGGTATAGTGCTTGAGAGCATGCACCAAGTCCTGGGTTTGATGCCCAGCACCACATAGAACTGGGCACACACTTCTAATCCACTTAGGAAACAGAGGCAGATGGATCAGGAAATTCATCTTGGCTATACAGAGATTGAGGCTAGCTTGGGCTACATAAGAGCATCAAAAAAATCTATTATATAATAGATTATTGATGTATTTATAGGGGCTGGAGAGATGGCTTAGCAGTTAAGAGCCAGGTTCGAATCACAGCACCCACATGTCCCTAACTCCAATTGCAAGGGATTTGATGCCCTCTTCTGACCTCTGTGGGCATTGTACAACATGGGTGCACTTACATATATACAGGCAATACACTCACACACATAAAAATGAAAAATAAAAAATAAATTTAATGTATTTATAGATCTGTGTCTCTTTTTCTTTCTCTTTTGATATGGTCTTATTATGTAGCCCAGACTGACCTCAGATTGGTAATCTTCCTGCCTCAACCTCCCAAGTACTAAAATCATAGGTGTGCACCGCCACACCTGGCTTCATTTTGTAAGATGTTTGACTTTTTCAAGAAGACATGTCTGCCTAAAACTCAAATAGGACAAGAAGAAAATTGCCTGCTATGGGAATCCTGCAGTTCAATGCTCACACAGGTAAATAAACTTGGTGTTTATCGATTCCATTTAACAATCTTTCTCAATTATGTATTTCCCACAGTAAAAGAGTAAGCCAAAAAATTTTGTTTTTCTAATGTTTTTATGATTGCTTCTCCAGGTGAATAGTATTTCAACTTCCTTAGGTTCTTTCATTGCTTTACATTTTAAATTGGTATAAAATGGCCTTACTGTGGGACTCCGCTGAAGATAGTTCTTTCTCCCTAGGTGGAGGTCTAGTAAGGTCCTTGTGCTACACTCCTTCGGAAGACAGAACCCCTGCACTCTACTGCTTTTCTTCCATAAATAGGAACTTCCTCCCACTGACCTGTATTATGTTAATAACTCTGATAAAGAACCTCTGTTGTTGAATAAATAGCACTTGCTTGAAGTTAGAGAATCTAGGGTCCTCTTATCCTTATGGCCTTTCCACAGACCAATGGTATCTCCATAAATCAAACAACCTGGACTCAAGGGGCCCTGCCAAGCTACTAAGTTAGAGGAGCCAAAGAACAAATCTAGGTTCACTCTAAAATGTATCACTCTATAAAGTATCTCCTTTACAGTGAAAATACTGAACTCTCAGATGACCCATTAAAACTAAGCAAACCTGGGTTCTTAATGAAATGACACTATTTTTTTCAATGTATTTTTTAACTGAATAATTGTGGATTTCATACAATATATCTTAATCATATTTAGGCCCCCTCCCCTGCCCACACCCTCCCATAGCCCACCGACAGAATTTCATGCATTCTGTCATATATGTTAAGGCCCATCAAGTCAAGTTTGTGTACCCAGATGTTCCCAGTTCTATGCAACCAGCCAAAGTGTAAAGAACAAGAGACTGCGGAGTGCATGTCGTTGGATAGGACTCCTATATTAAACCTCATCAACCCCGGGCACAGGGACCATTGTGGAAGAGGAGGCGGAAAGATTATGAGAGTTAGGAGTGGTGCATGACCAGAAGGAAACAGTCTTACAGGCTCCTGGGAACTTGTTCATATGAACTTACAGCAATGGTGGTAGCATTCCAAGACCCATGCAAGCTAAATCAGATAAAAA